GGCCTACGACAATCAACCTGAGAGAAAGTGCACTACACCTTCAGTCCAGCGGGTTGTAATAAGAACATACGAGTGGCTCTACCTCCACTGCCAACCAGCTAAATCCCTAAGCTCAAAAGGTTTATTTGACATTTCAATGTTTTGCTTTGCTTGTGTGATTGTTTGGGATTTAACTGTGTGATTTAAATGACTTTTTAACAAAGGGGTTAATGACAGAATGACTTACCAACGTTACGGCTGTGGTGTGTTAGAGCTCACACTATCACATATCCTGGTTGAGTATGTAGCCTTTCCTAATGACCAGGAGCTCTTCTGTTTGAAAATTAGATTTAAAATAAGGCCTATTTTGATGAACTGTCTACACAGATTAAGCATAAAAGTGTAATACTTGCTTAAAAAATATTAAAAGGTATGAACACTATTTGTAAACTCAACTTCATCAGTTACTGCCACCATTAGGGAAATAAAGCACAACAGCGGTACATAACCCCACCCCTCAGAAAATGCTGGGTCTCTAGATGGACTAAAGTCCCAGAAAAGTGAAATTTCCCCAAATAAATGTGTATAGAAATCCTACCTGGGCTTTCAAAAGCCGAAGTCTTTTGAGTGGTAATGGAAAAAGGGATTTTAACTTCAACAGCTCCTACAGTAAAAGTAACTACTACTCAATCATAGCAACGCCTCAGTATAAGAATAACTAAATGCTTCATTTGCAAATATGACTAACTGTACTGCTGGAGAGGATGAACATGCCTAATTAGTGCTTTGGACGCCGAGTTTAAAGATAGACCATTATATTGAACAAAGCAAAACTGAAAAACCTGATGGTTTATGGAGAAAGTACAGTATGCCACCTATTCAATGGGAGAACTCATACAAGGCATAAATATTAAAGTTCTTTCTTTAAAGCACACTTTATATCTTTTTTTTTCTGTACCAAGGAAGCTGGGACTAATGAAATACCAGGATAAACCATACCATATGAAAAATCTAATAATTATACCGGTAATTAAATCAGATGTATTGCCTACTAGATTGTGAACTAGAAATCATTATAATAGATCTCATTAACTTCTGGAAAATACATTTCTAGTTATTATTATTATTTGTTAGTGGGAAGATTAATGTAAGATGAAATTGGGTACAAAATTATCACAAATTTAAACAAATTTTATTTAGAGAGACAACAGCTCCCTTTAGCTTTTTCTCAATCAGCTGCCCTTGGAATGAATATTTAATGTACTGTTGACAAATTGCTTGAAACTCCTCCGGTACAGTGGTAAACCACAATGGAAAAAGAGATTAAGAGGTTAACAGAAAGAGACTACTGGACAGTCAATCACCTTGAGCTCAGGGCAAACTGATTTTTAAAAAATTAAATAAAACACCTATACCTAAAATCCATGTTACAATATCTGCATGACACCTGCAGTACTGTAAAATATAGATTTTTATTAAAGTAATGTACCTAATCGCAAATGTTTTCAAAACTAAATATTGTTTTATTGTATACTAGGGCTGGGACTTTTATGTGTTGATTTCACTTAATTAATTTCATTGATATAGATTTAATTGATCACATTCTTTTCTATTATTTACAAACTTCACTGTTTCTTGTACACCCATAAACCTGATGCAAAGCAGCATCACAGTTGTTTGTCCACTGCTTAAAAACCATCTCGGTGATAGAAAAGTTACCCGGTAAATATGGTTCTTTGAATTTCTGAATGAATGCCTCTCACACTGGTCACCTAGAACGCTTCAGTGAGGAGGGGACAAAGCAGAACTCCCCAGCTGTTATTTATAGAGTAGCATTGTCACATTTGTGAATTTGATTACACTACAATCTTGACCTACATGGAGTATAAGTGTAATATTCACTTTGTTTAGTTCCACTGGCAGACAGGAAGGAATAAAACAAAAGTGATGTTGTGGCAAACACAGACATTTACAACATTGATGTCAATATCTAGTCCAAAGTTGCAGCCAGTTGAAATTGGACCAGATGTGAGCTTTATAACCAAAATGACTTAGTCCACGCCTGAAAAAATAAAAAGCTCACTGGTTAAATGGTTTACAACATGGATTGTTTTGGTAGCTGGCTTGAAGAGAAGAAGTAGCCTCTCTATTATAAATGTTTTAGTTGTATGAAACATTGCATGTTGAAGATGTTATATTCTGAAAGGCAATGCAATGATGTCATAGTTCCTTATCGGTTTTATAAATGGAACTTTAACTTCTGTTTACAGCAAAAGTTAAACTCTTAAAGGAAGTCTTTAGTTATAAGTAGTTTTTCACCATATTCAATTGAAAGAATTGTGGTTTAAATAATCGTGTATTGTTCACACTTCTACAGAAGTAATGTTTCAAAGAACTTCCATAAAATATCAAGAGATTCTAAAAAAGCTATATGATTATAATTTTTAACTAGTCTGACAGTTGAATAACCTCAATAATTAATAAAAAAAATATGTGTTGCTGTGTCATGTTTTATGTAATAAATAAATTAAGATAAAAGTGTTTTTCAAATTAAAAAGGTTGTTTATTTGATGAATAAATAGCGTTTTCGATAACAATGCAATTCATTAATTATAGACCCAGCTAATTGTCTGGCTGTGTGAAGGTTTGTAGAGGGCTCAAATGCAGAGAAGGAAGCTGAGGTGGTATCTCGCAGATTTAATAACAAAGGGTGGCAACAAAAGCGTAAATCTAAAGTGACAAGAAACACAGAAACCAGAACAAAGGGGAACACACAGGTTAAGGAGGGAATGAGGAGAATCCAACAAACAGTAGCTGCAGAGAAGGAGTATATATTGCAAACAGAACAATGAATCGAGTAATCAACCGATTGTGAGCAGGTGTGGACAGAAGGATCAAGAAGGGAGCAAGGGGAAAGGAGACTGGAACAAGGGCGAAGAGAGTAAACAACAAATACAACAGTGTATATATAACTGTTCTAACTAATATAACTAGACAAAAACTTGGATGAAACTAAATGGAAACAAAACTGTCTTAGAAAACAGATTGACATAAATCAAAGTGTAACTGAAAACCCAAAGTAAAATCTTAAACAGAACCAAAAAGTCCAGAAAGGACAGAATCATGACACCAATAACTCAGTTAAATACTTTAACTCAGTCCAACAAGTACTGTACACACATTTATACTTGAACTAATTTAAAACTTGGATAAAATAAGTGTATTATTATACCAATGCATTTCTGCATTTGTATACTTAGCATTGAAATCTATAAATAAAATATGTTTATTTAACTTACCCCATATATTTTAACATATCATTTGGCCAGTGTACAACTAGTAAAACTCACCATCTGCTGGTAATCTTGAAGCATGTTTTAAGGATTCACATAAATCTATGTTGGCACAACTAGAAAATAACATGAATTTCATCTTGTCTTTCTGGTTGAGGTCAACAACATAGAGTAACCCATGTGGCCTAGTAGAAGCACAAATAAAGTGGATTAGAAGCTCCATTTTTTTTTCCTGTGCATTTAACTCTACATTTCAGTAAAATATCCAAATTGTGAAGGCAATGTTTAGTCATTATTTTGTATGCAAAATATCCAGAGTAGCTTTTAATTTTTTAATTTCTCCTGATTTTCAAAAGCCACAATCGAAAAATAATAAAAAATTGACCAAATTGCCAAATTTGGTTATCCACTTTAGTCTACACAGAAAAACTTGGATGTCTTTAAATGATTAATTGATTATAATTTCCAATGAAGAAAAAGACTGCAATCCCCTGTCATATCTCATTTTTTTCTCTACAGCAGCACACTAACAGAAATAATAAAGGACAATAAATTAAGTACACTTAATAACCGAACTAACTACTTAGTAGGGTTGGTGTCAAGAGACTCCCTAGATCAGTAATAACCCGCTGTTCTTAGTGAGGCTGGAAAGAAACGGCAATTCAATGAAGGTACACTCAGAGCTGATTGCAAGTCATTACAACCACCACGGGGAGAGCCCAGTGGAAGGAGCTTAATGGGTGTGGGAGAAGAACACTTAGAAGCCCCCCACCCATCCAAACCTACATACACACATGTTGAGACTAACGCTCGTTCACTGAAGATACAGTATCGGTGTTTCCTTTCACTCTCTCTTCAGTCTATATCCTAACAGACAATCAGAGGTAGTGGTGCATTTACATCCCACGTCTGCACGTTCCATGATTTCGTTTTATGATTACTCCATCACGGCAGAGCTTGTTTAAGACCCCATTAGAATCAAAGGGGCGACAATCTTCATAATCAAGCTTAATTTATTAAAACATCAGCCAGTGCCATTAACATTAACAGGGTGAGACAGGGAAGCTCCAATAAAGGAGAAGAGACTCCTTCATAGAGATCACCCAGCCAAATGCAAACATATGTTTGTGGTTTGGAGCATTTTGGAGCATTTTACTATTGCCATATCACAAAAAAAGTTATTGCACTAATTTCAACTTGAAAATGTTGTGGGAGGTTTTAAATTTGTATCAAAAGCTTATGATTTTATTTATTACCTTAAAAAAAATAACATCCATTAATTAATTAATTAACATTTCTACATTTGTTCAAAATCTAAAATTCTTGGACTGCTCAGACCTGAACTGTAGAATACTACACTGAACAGACATTCATGAAATACATATAATATTGGTTGCAATCTTTATTCTCTTCTATAATTTTTTCTATTTACTCAAAATGTTTTAGAAAAACGAGCACAAACGGGGCACCTAAAAGATTTTTTTTTTCTAATATAAATCCAAAGCTTAAAGACAACCTGAGGGAAACTTTAGGCACTTTTTATAAAGGTTCAGAACAGAGGACACAAAATTCGAAGCAAACAGACAGGCATGCTTCTCAAAAAAAGTACATTAAGAGATGTTGCATCTTCAATTCAGCTCCCAGGGCTGGATCTCTGCAGAGGGAAAATTCAGGTTAGTGTCCACAAAAATCTGACAGAGAATGATTACGAACACATGAGTAACTAACCTGATCTTAGAGTTCAGTCTGTGCCCAAAGGAAGGATTGGAATCCAGCCGAATGAATACCAACAGCACGTGATGAACGCAGCTCAGAGAGTTCTAGGAGCTCAAGCCTTGAAGTCTGTAGAACTGGATAACAAGCAGATCCAGCAGACGAAGGAAGGCAGGACTTTCCGGAAGACAAAGCTGGTGTAAAAGAGGTTCACAGGAGGCCAGGCTAGAAGGTCAGATATCCATAGGGGTACCTAAGGGAAATCCAGGTTGAAATTAGGAGTCAGATCCAGGTTCAGTCAATAGGCAGAATCCAGCAGGATTCTGAAGACAGGTCAGGCAAACAGGTTTGAACAGGTACAGCCAGGCTCAATTGTCCGAAGATAAAAACTGGTCAGGATCAGGCAATTTAGAACACAAGCAGGTACGCTAGAGAACTTTCGCCAAAGGCTCAAATAATCCGGCACTGATGACTGGGAGCAAGCAGTTTAAACAGAGACTAGAGCAGGTGACACAGATGAATGGTGATGAGAAACTGGGCAGAGCTAGACAGGTGAAGGGAATGGACCATTAAGCCAGTCATCAGTGCCAAGATCATGACATTTTTTGGAATTTCATGGGAAAACTGCAACATGACAGCTGCTGTAACTGGTTTTCAATCATCCTCTAATTTGCTTTCCACAATAACTGCAAAATAACCTATTTTGAGAGTTGGACTAGAATAAATAGTTTCACATTTAAACAAAACAAAATCTTCGCCTCTATTTAACTACATTAGGTACATTTTAAGCAATGATAAATGATAGAAAGGTAATCTTGCTACATCAAGCAGAAGTAAAACAAAAGTATATATCATTTTTTTTATTTAGCAATGATTTACAATGCATGTCAAACACACTCTACAGGGTTGATTCAGTGAAATTAAAGAGTGACTGATTAGAAGTCTTCTAAGTTCATCAATATGATCACTGCAGAAATCACTTCTCCTGAATAAGCATGAGTTAGCAGTGTGTTGTACGCATCGTATCACTGAATAATTATCTGAAAATTGAACATGTATGTATCAACAGAGGAAAGGACACATTTCTGAAAGTTTTGCATTGTTTTACACAGATAAACCTGCAACCATCCATCCATCCATTAGTCGGTTCATTCATCATCCATATTCTTCAACTAGTTTCTCAGGGTCTTTAATGTCTCCTAAACTTGCAAAAGTTATTATAATTTTCTTGCAAGTACAAGCAACATTAATGATCGAATAATAGTATTAAAAAAATTCAAGTGAGAACTTTTTTTCTTTTTCCTGATTGCCTTTTTAGAATAAAAGGAAAAAAATATCTCTTGGATTTTAACTTGCGCTTCTGATTTATTTATTTACATCCCTGTTCATTCAAATACAATAAAGAGTGAGGCAAAAAACTTAAGAGGACACAAGAGCCAAACACTTAAAATATATGTGAGAATATAAAGAACTTTCTGTTGGCTCACAGCAGAGCAAAATCTTGTAGGAGAGTGCTGATGTATTGAAGCAGTATTGAGGTCCATCCTACAACACACATTCCAAGCCACCAGAATTGACTAAAGGGCTGGCAATACTCCCGCAGCAGTGTGTCACAGTGAGCTTGTCACAGGTATGACACAGACATTTTTGATTTATGCTCAATATTGAAGTGTGGTTGACCAAACAGAGGCCTCCTGTCTGTGGCAATGTCTGCAGTCACCTATAATTTGGGAGAGTTGGAGCAGAGTGTCTGCGGAGGGGGTTGGGATGTCTCTGCGCTCACCATGACACCTACGCAGATGACCTAGTTTAGAAGTATAAATCAGCTTTAAGAATCCTGGATAGGAGTTAGAATGTCTTAAAAAATGGAGCGAGACTCCGGTCGCCTTCCAATTTAAGCCTGTTTGTGGTTTCCATCACCCAGATGACTACAACTTTTACAGACGCACAATGCTGAGGCTGCTGGTGAAGATTCTCCGTCGTCTAGGTCTTAGTCATTCCAAAAAAAAAAAAAGTTAGAGAAACAAGCCACTGGACTTTGTTTTCCAAATTTAAAGACGGCTAAATGTGCATTTTTTTCTAAGCCAAAACAAAGGTTTGTTGAGCTTATCTTTAAAGCTTGGAACTCAACGCTAATTTCAGACATTTTGAATTGAAAAAGCTCCCAGGATGGGAAGTAAATTGTCTCCTAGAGCTTTGGTTAGTTTAGGGCAGTTTTATCTTGACCCTACTGTGCAAATAGCTTATATACTTCCTGAGAATGTAGCCAACATGTATACTTGAATTTGAAGGCCTGAAGGACCCAGACCTATGTCTGGCTAAACCAAACTATTTAAAAAAAGACTCACTTACAGTTAAATCATAATCTAATAAGATAAGTTATTTTATTCTTCCTTACAGTCAGGGCTGCCTCTATACTATTTTCCTCTTTAGTTAATTGTTACTTAAAAACAGGAAATTGTATTTACTCAGGACATGTTTTTATTCATACAAAAATTTGTTTAATAATATGAAATAATTACATGTTTTAAACTATTTTAGACATATCTGACATTACAGCTGTTCAATCATATAGCCTCGGTTTTTCTGAGACGTAGCACTTTATACTCACTCAGCAGGCTTCACCACTCTTCCCACAAAGTAAAGCTCCTTATGTGTATTGATGTGCACCATTGACAAGTCAATTCAATTTACCTTAGGAAAATGGCTAGTGTTTTTATTAGGCTAATTAGCCAGCACCCTGTGGGAGCTGTGGGATGAGCAAGATAAGAGATGAAAGCAAAGCTCTCCTGTAATGTCTGTCAGGATATGTACACTCAGAGAATGGTAGATAGTGGGGAGAAATCATTCATGGACTCTCATCATAAATAGTACAAATTATTTTATGTTGAAAGAATAACTGCAGTAATTTCATTCTTCATTGGCTTTAATTTTTATTCATTTAAGAGATTTGTGAGTGTGAGTTTTACTGTCAATTTGATGTGTTCTTGTAGTGACATAAACATCATATTTGGGTTTTTGTGCATAAAGGTGGTACTATAGCACCAGTTATTCAACATGACTATGTGTTTGTGTTTGTTTGTGTATGGGTCAGTTATTCCTGAATATATTGATTAAATCTTATTTTCTTGAAATAAAGTTCAGCTATCATGGTTTTTTCCATCCTGTTTGCGCAAGCTTTGGTTTTTTGAGGTTGAAGTTTTAAAGCATCCAACTACTGCCAGTTCACAACATATGTCAACTCAGTTCAATTCATCACTGAATTCAAGCAGATCCTGTAGTCAGATGGGTTCAAAGTTTTCAAAGGAAAACCAGCTGATGGCATCAACTCATTGACTTGACAGGAACTCCCTTTAACAGGAAGGAGCAGAATCAGGCTAATTGTGAGCGGCGATCAGAATAGAAGCGGACATACAGAGAGAAGCAGATATACAAAAGCTAACTGCTAACTAGTTCTACTGGTGCCCCCATCCAGGAAAGACACAGCCAGGCAGACAAGCTATGAGCCATGAAAAAGAGCATGAATAATCACACTAAGAAGACAGGACTACACTGAAAAACAGGTCAAGCTCCAACTTCTATAAACAATGGTGTTGATTACAGCAGCACAGCTGATATTCCTCAAAAAGCAAGCAAAAAGTTCCAAAAAGATCTGGGTTTGTTCTGATTGATGGTCTATAGCTTTACGTATTTATCTGGGTGTGAGGACTGTCAGAATTCAATGCCTTCTCTAGTACTTCTAAAATGTTACTTCAAAGAACAAGACATCACAAAACACTTTCAGCAACAAATGAGAAACTACATTTCCGTTGTTTCTTTTACTGTATCAAAAATGCCCTAATGATACAATAACCTTTAAATCTGAGAAAGGTGTTTCGCCATTGTCCCTAACATTGCAAATTATATGAGAGAGGTCACCAAACCCCTCAATAAAGGACTAGGAAATTTAAAACATAACTGCTTTCAGAATATTCACTTTATCGTACAGAAAAATAAATCACATGTGAAACTTGCTGAACTTTATCAATATCTAAAGACCAATGTTTGGGGCTAAACTGCAGAAAACCAATAAATGGAGACCCATGACCCAGTACTCATGTCTTTCTTTACAATATCTAACAGGAGCTATATGCGCATGTATAATATGTCTCAGCAGTCAGCAGATCCTGCAATTTTTCTTAAACAATATATAAACATTCATAAGCTTGGACTTGTTGACAGTCCTCTTATTTCTGTCATGATCTTGGCACTGATGACTGGATCCTTAGTTTCATACCTTCCACCTGCTTAGCTCCGCCCAGTTTTCATCTGCCCTCATCTGATCCACCTGTTCCAGCTATTTATACTGCCTGTTTTCCAGCCATCAGTGCCAGGTTATTTGAGCCTATTGTGAGAATTATGTTGCGTACCCTGTAATGTTGCTCAACTGCCTAATCCTGACCTGTTTCTGCATTTGGATTTCTGAGTTTTGGGTTGCCCCAGTTCTGGTCTGTTTCTGTCCAGACTGCTGTTTGAACTGTGTCTGTTAGCGACCTTGGATCTGTCCCTGGACCCCGGCCTGGATTATCCCTTTAATACCTCTGCGACTCTCTGATCTTCTGGTATGGACCCCTGCTTCGTCACCTACTCTGGATTTCTCTGCTCTTCAGCATATGCTGGCTTCCGCTTTTCTGCTTGGCCCCTCAAAACTCTCTTGGTGGCTCCGACCGAATATTGTGGAGACTGTGGTATGTTGTTATATCTGACACTAGCTGGTCCCAAGTAACAAGCTTTTTTTTTTTTTTTTTTAACCAAACCAGTTCTGTTTGCCTGAATTCTGGGTCCATTAGTTTGAGCCCTGAACATGTCTTTATCCACAAATTCCTACTTGGCCTGAATGAGGCTTGCCAAACCCCAATACCAAGATTAGCCTGTTTCTCTGAATTTGAGCTGCTCACGTTCTGGCCTATGGGCTTGTTCTTAAACTTTATAAACACAGTACAAACATAGTCAACACAACACCTTTGCATTAACATGCCAAAATCACTGTTGGTGTATTGATTTATTTCCCTAAAGCAATGCTATGGTTAATTACAGACTTGTTATCCCAAAAGAACACAGAGTGAAATATATATAAAAAAAATGTTTAAATTGTAAGCAGAGTTTAGAGAGAAATGAGTAGAAGCCTCTGCTAACCAGGATTGGCACACCTCTGGTGTATCCATTTTTTTTTCATGCTTGCATCTGTCGGTGACACACACAACACTGTCAGGC